GTTGAGAAGTTCCGGATTGCATGTCACTAGTCCTTTGACTCTTTTGAGTGTGTATTTCTGAATTCTGAATTCTGTGATTAGGGTTTCTAATTTGTAACCTAATATGTGGACTCACTGGACTATGATACTTGTAAATCTGTTGAGAAGTTCTAGATTGCATGTCACTAGTCCTTTGAGTGTGAATTTCTGAATTCTGTGATTAGGGTTTCTAATTTGTAACCTAATCTGTGGTGGAAGCCATACTGCCCTAGCCCCTTGCCACTGTGGAAGTGTGGAACTGTGTGTGAAATACTGAAATCCATATAAATGTTGGCATTCTTGTGGAATCCATATAAATGTGGGAGTGTGTCATGTACTCATGTGTGACTGAAATCCATATAAATGATGAGCATATAAAGTAGCATACATCTACTTAGCTTGAATGCCTGATTATGGATTTCATTGTAAATTGTAATTTGTAAGTTGTAAGTTGTAACTGTGAAAATGTGAAATTGTAAGTTTTTGGATATGTGACCCTTAAATCATTTATGTGCAATTCTGCATACATGATGAAATGTTCAATTAACTGAATTCTGCTCGTTTAACACTTTAATTAATTGATACATGTGACAAAGCCCATTCTCTGTTGATGATTTTCAATGAGTGATTTCCCATTCTGTGTCACTGACTCACTGATACTTTCCCCTTTTTAGATGGAAAGTGTTAGTGGTCTTACTGGTGTATCTGGAACCCAACCTGAGTTGGAAGCACCAACTGTAGAGATTGTTACTCCTCTGTCTCAGCAACCTTTGCCTCCACCTGTTCCAAAGAAAAGGAAAGAGGTTGAAACCAGGTCTCCATGTTGGGATCACTTTGAAAAGATCAAAGACAGTGATGGCATTGTCATCAAAGGAAAATGTATATATTGTGCAAAAGTGTATTGCTGCGAGACCAAGAAACATGGGACTTCTTCTCTGAGGACTCACATTGTAAACTGCCTTAAAAATCCTCACTCTAAGGAGACAAGGCAGTCCCTACTTACATTCCAACCTGCACCTTCTTCTGTTGGAACTCAAAGTAGTGAAGGAACTGAAGGGGTGTTGGGTACTTGGGTGTTTGATCAAGACTTGATAAGGAGAGCCTTAGCTGAGATGATTATTTTAGATGAACTTCCTTTTAGGATTGTTGAGGGACTTTAGAAAGTTTGTTTTAGTTTGCTGTCCTAGGTTTAAAATCCCTTCAAGATGGACTATCAGTAGGGACATTTTCAAGATATTTTCTGATGAGAGGGTGAACTTGAAGAAGTTTTTTAGGACTAGCAGTCAGAGGGTAAGTATCATAACTGATACTTGGACCTCAGTCCAGAGAATAAACTACATGTGCATAACTGCACATTTCATTGATAGTGAGTGGAAGTTGCAAAAGAAAATTATTTCATTTGTTCCTATATATTCCCACAAGGGGGAAAGTATTGCAAAGGCTTTAGAGAGTTGTCTTTTGGACTGGGTCTAAAATCAGTGTTTAGTGTGACAGTAGATAATGCTTCCAGCAATGACACTGCCCTAGGATTCTTGAAGAAGAAGTTGGTCTCTTGGGGTTGTACTGTTGTTAGGTGTAAGTATTTGCACATGAGGTGCATTGCTCACATTCTTAACTTGGTGGTACAGGATGGGTTGAAAGAATGTGACAGTTCTGTTAAGAAAGTCAGGGATGCTGTTAGGTATGTGAGGAGCTCACCTGCTAGGTTGCAGAAGTTTAAATCACTAGCTGATCTAATTGGGGTGGAAGCTAAGAATTCTCTGTGTCTAGATGTCCATACAAGGTGGAATTCCACATATATGATGCCGAATACTGCATTATTGTTTCAGAAGGTATTTGAAGCCTATGATGATCATGACAGTTCATTTAAATATAATTTGGGTGGAAGTGTACCTGATTTCTTAGATTGGGAATCCATTCAATCTTTGGTTATGATTCTGAAATCTTTTTATGAAATGACTGTTAGGATTTCTGGATCATTGTATGTGACTTCTAATACCTTCTTCTCTGAGATTTCTGATTTGTCTTGCTTGTTGAAAAATATAGAGGAAGCTACAGAAGATAGTGTTAAACTGATGGGTAAAAATATGAGGGCAAAATTTGATAAGTATTGGGGTGAGCCTGAAAAAATGAATTTTTTGATATTCTATGCAAATATCTTAGACCCCAGGGACAAAATTGAATATATGCCCATTCAGTTTAACTAGTTATATGGTGAGGACAAGGGTAAAACAATGTTTGATAAGGTTATTGTTGGCCTTAAGGAGTTGTTTGAAGATTATGTTGCATGCTTCCCTGTCCAGTATGTTGAACATTCTGACAAATCTTCTCCCTCAATAACAATATCTGATTCTGTTTCTGTTGGGAGACCTCAATCATTACTGAAATCTCAGATTAAGAAGCAAAAATTGGTGAGTGGGGATTTGTCTAGGAAAAAAACTGAGTTGGAAGTGTATCTCTCTGAGGTTATTGTGGATGAGGATGATTCTTTTGACCTTCTAAGATGGTGGAAGCAGCAATCTGAAAGGTTCCCTGTCTTATCTAAAATGGCAAGGGATATTCTAGCTGTTCCAATATCAACTGTTGCTTCAGAATCAGCATTCAGTGCAAGTGGAAGGGTACTTGATGCCTTTAGGAGTTCCCTAACTCCTAGAATTGTTGAGGCATTGATGTGTGCACAGGATTGGCTAAGGTTAACCAATCAACCAATCTCTATTGAAGAAAATATTGATGATGTGGAAAGGATTGAAAAATGTATATACTTCTAACTTCCATTTTGTATCTGTTTAATTGTTTATAAACTATATTAACTATTAACTATCTGTTTAAGTTTTAATTTCCATTTTGTATTTGTACTGCAGAGTTGTGCAGCACATCCAGCACTGGAGTTGGATTGCCTACAATTCTTGTATGTTTACAGTTTACATATTTATTTTCTTTTATGAATTCTTATTCTGAATTTGTGATTACTTATTTGATTTCATAATAAATTTATGCCTCTGTATCAGTGTATCATGTATGTGTATCAAATTATCAATGATTCAAATCAATGTCCCTCATGAGGCTGGGAAGTGGGAACTGGAACTAGAAAGTGCTCATGGCTAGGTGACATTTTAAATGTTGCTGCCATTGAGCTTAGGTATCAGTATAAGTATTGACTAAATGTGACTTGTGACTTCTGACTTCTGACTCACTATACTTATAACTGTATAAATATTCATTATTGTGCAATGATGATGCTTCCACCATGTTCTCTGAATATATAGAATTGGGTTTGGTATGTTGCCTGTGAAGTGTGGTGTTTATGTCATACTCATTGAGTAGTGTTCCTCCAATCCTAACTTGATATGGAAAAAAAGCTATCTGAGCACTCTTTGAGTCTTTGCTATTTAAATATAATCCATTAATTGTTCCAGTATAAGTATTATTGTGTAATGATGATGCTTCCACCTTCTCTGAATATATAGAATTGGGTTTGGTATGTTGCCCATGAAGTGTGGTGTATATGCCATACTCATTGAGTAGTGTGCCCCCAATCCTAACTTGATATTGAAAAAAAGCTATCTAAGCACTCTTTTAGTCTTTTACAGTTTGTGTCAATCCATTGTTCCATATTGAATGGCAGTAAGTTATGAAATGTTTTGAACTTATTCTGTTTTTATGTCTTCACTTATCAGGAAGAAGAATAGACTAATAGAGACATAGAGTACTCTATATTATATAAATCATATATTCATATATTACTTTTGGAGTTTTGGATTTCTGGTTTTCTTTTGCTCAATGGCTGAAACATGAAAGCTGAATGCTGATGTGCTGATTGGAGAATGATGCTGCTGCATGCTTGCCTGCTTGGAGATTGGAGAGTGATGTTGATTGCTGAATTGTTGTCTTGTTGATTGTTATATTTTGCTATGAAGAATTGAACTTCTCATTAAAAGTTTTAAAGTTATAAGCTAATATGTAAATTTGTATGTTTTGAAGTTTCAGTTATAGCTTCTAAGTTCTAACTTGTAATTTTGTTAATTTGATTATATATTTAAAGTTTTATAAGTTTACTTATGTTATTTTTGCGGTTAAGTAGTTACTAATTACTAGTTAGGGGCTTATAGTACTTAAGTAGTTAATTAGTTAAGTGTTCCATGAATTGATTATTTGATTTGTACATTGTCATAAAACCGAAATACCAACCGGATATCCGACCGATCCGATCCTACCCGAACATACAAATAACCGAACGGATAAGTCAACAAAATAAAACGGATAGGGTAGTTAACATTGAAATCCGAAATCCGATCGGAGGACAAGTTCCGCCATCCAAACCGCCCGACCCGTCCGACTGCACACCCCCAGTTCCTACATTTTCAGTCCTCTTCTTTACTTTTACTTTCATCTCTCTTCTCTCTGCTATGTCCTTTACTGTTCTTTGCATACAATGGCTGAGAATCATCTTGAAAGATTGAATAAAAGAAGATCGATTTTACAACAACAACAACAACAACAACAACAATCACAATAATAATAATAATAATAATAATAATAATAATAATAATAATAATTATTATTATTATTATTATTATTATTATTATTATTATTATTATTATTATTATTACAAATAGTATTTTAAAATTTTAATTTTATCTTAAAAACTTTACAATATATTTTTAGAAACTTCTAAACTATTTTTACTAAATTAAACATTTAAAAAGCATTTGAAAACATTGCATAATCGAATAAAATTTTAAATTTACTTTTAGAAATAAGCCAATTATTCTTTTTTATTTTTTTTTCCTTTCAACTTTTCAGATTTTTCTTATATTTTTAAATTTATTAGTACCTTTGATATAACTTTTAAATATAAAAAGAAATTGTATATAACATTAAATTAAAATCATAAAAATATAATTGTAAATAATTTAAGTGTTTTTTTTTTTGCTCTAAAAAAAAACACCATATGTAATGGGAAGGAAGTATAACAAATTCTCAAAAAGTATAAATAGTTCTCCTGTTAAAAACCCTACTGTCAACGTAACAAGATTCAAGCTTTTCATATTGCAATTGCTGCAGAACTCAAATTCGCGCACCCACTTTCTCCGCAGTGTGTGCGTTTATCTACAACGTTTCGGAGCAGAGAAACCCTAATTGGTTCCGGGTTGTGACATGCGCCCAGTTTTTCAAAATGCCCACAAGCTGTTTGTAAGATTTCCCAAACGAAATTTCTCAGCCAGAACCTCAACATACAATGTAACTCGGAGCTCGCATTTGCAAGATCAAGTCCATTGTATTTGTGGGAATGAAGACGATAACGTAGTGTCATGGACATTGATGATTTCAAATTTCGTTAAGAGAAACCAGCCCCAGAAGGCCATTGAGCTTTTCAAGAGAATGCTTACAAGCAATCTAAAGCCCAACTATGTGACAGTTCTAAGCTCCATTCGAGCATCTTCATATATGGACTCAGACAATTTGACAATGGGGATTCACTGTTTTGCTATAAAAATGGGATTTGAATTGGAAATGCCGATTATAACAGCTCTTCTTGGTTTTTATTCTGTTTGGGACATGGAAGCTGCGTGGAAGTTGTTTCTACAGGCACCAGAGAAAGATGCAATTATGTGGAGTGCAATGATTTCAGCTTTTGTGAAGATTGGAGAGTATATTTTGGCCATTGACCTTTTTAAAGAAATGCAATTCTGTGGTGTTCTACTAAATTATGTTACCATTTTGATTATTATGCAGGCTTGTGCAAATCTTGGCAATTTGAGAATTGGGAGAGAACTTCATGGTTTTTCCATTAAAAGATCATTCACTTCCCATCTCAATATTCAGAATTCGCTTGTGGATATGTACACCAAGTGTGGGAGTTTGAAAGAGGCAATTTATGTTTTTCGACACATAGAACAGAAGGATCTTGTTTCTTGGAAAAATATTATTCTTGGGTGCGTAAAAAATCACTGCCATAGAAAAGCTTTGATATTTTTCCATGAGATGCAGTTTTGTTGCTTTGACATAGATGAAACTATCATAACGGAAGTGATTGGAGCGTCCTCCAAATTGAATGAGACAAAAGCTGGACTGGGAATTCATTGCTTTGCACTAAAGTCGGGATTTTTGAAATGTATTCCTGTCGTGACTGCACTTCTTCAAATGTATGCTAACTTTGGTAATATTGAATCATCAAGGATTTTATTTGATTCTCTCAGCCAAAAAGATATCATTGCTTGGAGTGCAATGATCTCAGCTTATGCCCAGAGCGAGCAACCCAGTAATGCTCTGGCTGTATTTAGACGGATGCAATTGGAGCATGGGAAGCCTAATGAATTTGCTTTTCATAGTTTACTACAGGCTTGTTCTTCAATGGCAGCACAAGATGTTGGAGAAACTATACATACACAAGTTATGAAACTTGGTTATACATCTAATGCATTTTTAGCATCTGGACTAATTGATATGTATTGTAAATTTGGAAGAATACACCAGGGGAAAACCATTTTTGATGAAAATCCTGACAAAGATCTCATATGTTGGAGTTCGATGATCAATGGTTATGGGATGAATGGTCATGGAAATGAGGCTCTTGAGTGTTTCTTGGACATGTTGTCTCATGGGATACAGCCAAATGATGTTGTTTTCATATCTGTCCTGTCTGCTTGTAGTCACTGTGGCCTTGAATACGAGGGTTGGAACTGGTTCCACGCAATGGAAGAGAAATATGATATTACTCCGAAACTTGCACACTATGCTTGTATGGTGGACATGCTTAGCCGTCAAGGGAACGTAGAAGAAGCTCTCGAGTTTGTGAATAAAATGCCCATTGAGCCAGATAAGCGGATATGGGGAGCTCTGCTTGCTGGATGTAGAAAAACTCATGGATCGAGTGAAATTTCTGAACTAGTTGCCAAACAGCTTATTTCTTTGGACCCAACAAACGCGAGCTATTATGTCATTCTATCAAACTTATATGCGGATCAGGGCAGATGGGATGAGGTAGAAAAGTTGAGGCAACTGATGGATGGAAAGAAGAGAAAGAAAGGGATGGGTTATAGTGTCGTCGAAGTCAATAACTCGATGCATAGAATGGAATTCTAATGAAGATCAGAGCAGGAATATATTCAGCATTCTCGTGTCATTATTGATGTTCTTCACAGATCAATTGCCCATTCCAGCTCCTAGCTAAGTGCGCCAAGACCAGGAATATATTCTATTGTGCAGAACTCACAGCTAGCATCCAGAAGATCCATGTAAAGGAAGAACTAAAAGAGTTGACAGATCGAGCAGAATGTGGTGGCCGACATTTTGGCAAGGGATCGGATGTTTGTCGCTCAAATACTATGTGGGTTGAATGGGAGGAACCCCTCCCTCTCTTTCGGATGTGTTGATGGACGACTCTTTTGGCTTGCCCCGTTGTAGGACCGTTCTGGAAGGGTGTTAGATATAAGACACTGGGCGTCATTGCCCTCCCCTTGATCCCAAAAGAAAAAAAAAAAAAAAAAAAAAAAAATCTCTACTTGCTGGGCAGGCCAGTGATTAATAGTGGCATGGCAAAGCTAGCATGTCATATGTTGCGCCTATCAATGGCTATCATTGCTCGGTGATTCTTAATCCTAAACCAGCAGCCGGCTTGCAGGTCACAACTTCTAACTCTATCAGATCCCTTGCTAATTGTTTCATTACCAAGTAGGCAAGTATTGCAGAGTTTGATTACTCTGTTGTGCCAGTTATGGTTCTGATTCCAAGCAATAACTATTACAAAATTATTATGTTTGATATTTATTTTCATTTGAAAATATAAGAATAATGAATTTTTCTATGCTGCATTTGCCTTTAATGTCTTTTTCTAAAAATGAAAAGAATGGTATCATATATATATATATATATATATATATATATATATATATATATATATATATATGGTCAGGTTCCCGTGCGCACAGTGCTTCCCATGCGGCGGTGCGGCACTCACCATTAGGTACTACAAAGTATTCGTAAATGCACTAGTAGGTGCGGTACATTTTTTTTTGTGGTGCATTTCATTGTAATGCATTTCTAAACACTATGTGATGTATTTTTACATATCTAATGGTGAATCCACACCGGCCGCACGAGAGGCGCTGTCCGCATTTGGACCTATATATATATATATATATATATATATATATAGTCATAGTCCTAGGAAATATTTCTCATTACACACACATATATTGACAAGACATAGTAATATTTGTTTTTCACTTATATCACATCCCTCTCACAATACTACAATAGTAAGTGTTAGGAGTCTATTATGTGTTGGTAGTTATATTGTATTAGGACTCTTGTTACTATTCCTCATCGTAAGGATGCTAGATGTGGTACATAAAAATAAAAATCAAGTAATAAAGTAATCGCAAAACCTTTAAGCCAAATTTATAAAAATAAGTATACGTGCAAATATATATATATATATATATATATATATATATATATATATATATAAAAGTCCCTGAATTAGTGTTTAAATTTTTTTGGGTTAATTACCAAAATGGTCCCTCGACTATAGCGAAAGTACCGACTTGGTCCTCGACTTTTTTTCTTGACCGATCAAGTCATCAACTATTCAATTTATGATCGATATTTTTTTTTTTTTGGGTATACCCAGGGTTTTCACTATCGGACACAGTGGCTAATCCCCTCGCTGAATTGTAGGCACCTCTTTTGGGTGGGACAGCTGGTCTAGAGATTTAAAGTTGCTCCATTTTCAAAGCCAAATCGAACCCTTGACATTTGGTTAAGGATGAAATTTTTATGACCGATATGGTCCTCTGTCTATTTGGGGTTAAGTCGCCATTTCTTTTGAGGGCAAAATAGTCATTTTAGTCTCCAATTTGTGGGCATTAGAGTCTTTCCCTTCACCATTTGTTGATTCTATGTCTTTTGTTGTCAACGCAACAATTTTCACGCCGAAATACAGTACAGGGCAGAGAATAGCAAACAATTCTACATCAGTCGTTGTTTCCGATGGGTTCAGAGCTGCCAACGGGAACAGACTCGGCCCCTCCGCCACCTCCGCCGCCTGCCTGCTGAGCCTGTATTGCCTAGCCCTGAGCAGCCCTTTTTCTTGGAAGTTCTCAGCGAGCAGAGTCCATATCATAACCCACAACTGTCGCCGCCAGCTCAGCAGAATGAGTCACCGGTGTCGAACCCAATCGCCTCGCAGCGCGGTCGGTCAAGAAAGTGACAATTGCGTTATCGGTTGGGATTGTCACCTTGGCAATGTTATCCGCTCTCGGATTTTGCCTCTACAATCGCCTCGATAATTCTCAAAAGCTCGTAGGCGGAGGCGGCAACAAAAAGCAAATCCCAAGCTCCCCGTTGGAAAGCCACCGTACGGAAACCGAACACCGGGCTCACCCTTCTTGAGGTCATCATCGGCGAGAAATTGTGGCGAAAGCCAAAACTCACAATCATCCAATCCTCCGCCACAGCCGCGTCACTGTGGCGGAAGCTAAAATCGCAAATTAGGGTTAGGGGGATAGGGGAGATGAGATCGATGGAATCCCAGATGCTTTCTTTGATAATCTTCTTTTAGGTCTGCCTGCTGGTCCAGAACATTGTTGAACTGGATTGCGGTGTTTAGCTGCACACGACAGTCCCGAGTTCTCCTGGCGGTGCAGACCTTGCTATGACGGCCTTTCTGGTCGGTGGAGCGGGCAATCCGATCACCGCCGCCGATTGGATGAAGAGACGAGAGTGGAACTTCTTCCTCTTAAATATGAGAATGAGATAAAAGAGTAAAAGGACTATTTTGCCCTCAAAAGAACCGGCGACTTAACCCCCAAACATACGGAGAACCATATAGGTCATAAATTGAATAGTTGATGACTTGATAGGTCAAGAAAAAAAGTCAAGGACCAAGTCGGTACTTTCGCTATAGTCGAGGGACCATTTTGATAATTAATTCAATATTTTTTAATGATTTTTAACTTGACTGATTTTGAAGGCGTGCTTTCCCTTTGAAAAATAGCATTTGTTTTTCTTCTCTTTAACATGATAAGAATGAAGAAACAGGGAGAACAACTATACTAATAAAGGCCCTGTTTGGTAAAATGGCTGTTAGCTGATTGTGTTAATTAGAGGGTATAAATAGTTGATAACATTAGTTGATTGTAGAAAAGTGTTTGGTAAATTAGCTGTTAGCTGATAGCTGTTTGGTATAAATTTTTTTTTTCAAAAAGCTAATTGAAAAATTTACTTGGAGTAGCTTTTTGAATTTTAGCCTTTTGAAGTTGCAAAAAGCTAATTAACCAAATATTTATATTGATATTTTAACTAAATCAAACAATTAATAGTGGTCAAATAAGCCAAAATTGGCCTATAGGCCAAGTTTTTACCAAGGGCCAAAATATTTTTTTTCTTAGCATGAGCAATATGCATACAGTTCCCTTTTTTCATGTAAATGATACTCCGTAATTGATCAACCAAGCATAATGAAATTTCCTCTAAAAAAACATATAAAGAATAAAGCAACTTTAATCACAATGCTATATTTCTCAAAATTTTCAGCAAGGAAATAAACAACTCTAGTACATCAAAACCAAGATCAAGAAACTGATTAAACAAATGCTATGTTTCGTACATTATTTAGATGGGTTTTAGTAATTAATTTGCATCATTTAGCATAGCACTGTATTTATTTTTAGTAAAAATCACTCCCTTCATATCTTATGTTTAGAGTTGCCAAAAAATTACTTAAAAAAAAAAAAAAAAAAAAAAAACCTGGCCTTAATAACATACATAGAGGTCTGTTTGGATCATAAATGATACAGCAGTATGAGCTAAGCTAAAGAGTATTTGATAGGAAGGGGGAAGCTCTGAATTTGGCAAGAGAGCTGAATTAGCCAAAGAAAAATGTAGAGTGTGTAAAGGCAGATGAGAGAGATGAATTTGCATTCATGAAAACAAATGTAGTAGCATTATATTGTTTTAAAGATCTGGCATGCCTTTTCCAGTTTTTGGATCATATGTCCTTTCCATGACATCTTCCAATGGAGTGTCCTTGGGACCCGCTACACAAAAGAAACACATAACTGCATTAGACCTGTTAAGAGTCCCACATTGATAACATAAGAGAGAATATATGAGTTTATAAGGTTATGGGTTAGACTAGTTAATCTTTTAGTGTGGTTTGACCCATGTCCATTATAGTTTAATTGAGTGACCCTAATTCCAATCTTAGATTAAAACCTAACTAGCTAATTGATTGGATTCACTATTATAGCTCAATGTTAGATTATAATAACAATCATGTAAACAAAACTCATCTGTGCTATGATGTATCTCACCCACCTAATTGTGAATTTAACAATCATTGTGACCGTCAACCCTTAACCCTTGCTAGTTGATACAATTCTTTCACTGAGCCAAGCAGTATCCAATAAAAAATCCCCACTCACAACCCTAACAAAAAGCAAAGGCTGGACTATATTTCAGCAGGGCCAAATGACCTGGATTTAAAGTTATGGACATACTGGATTTTCCAATGCTCCATATAGATCGACTATGGTGTTAAGTATGAGAATGAGTTGAATTGTAGCCTCTAAATGGCAGGATCTAAGACGCAATGATGTTAAAACTAAAGCAGATAGAAATATAGAATATCTTGATTACATTTCCCGTGGAGTTTAACCTTACCAACTGATGGTCTTGGTGTAGTCCTTATCTTCAAGATCTCAGGACGAGGAATAATAGAGGCAGATGCTCCAATTCCTCTAGAAACTCTTACTTTGGTGCCATCTTCCAAGTATCTGATTCCAACTTTGCATGGTTGCCTGGAAAAAGAAAACATTAGCTAACAGGACTCGATACAAAAATTTGTTAAACAGCACAACCAATGTACCATACCCCGTTACTGGATCTACAACCTGCACATTAGAGACGTGCAATGGGGCTTCAACTGTAAATATCCCACCTTCATGACCTTGCCCTTGTTTAATATGCTTCTTTACCTGAAAAAAGGGGAAATGGTTCATGTGATAAGAGACATAATAATAATAATAATAGAAGAAAGAAATACAAACATGCATTATTCCGGTAAGAAGATGGTAATGTTAGGGTTAGTGCAAAAAGTGTCTAAACTTATCTTTCTTCATGAAATCCATGTTTTATAGGAACAACAAACTAGGAAGTAGGAAGAATCAAACTACTCTAGTAATTCCTTTATCAGCTTCCTTTCTGCAATTACAATTCCGGAAAATTATATGCTTATGAAGTAAAGAGATAGATACAATAGCATATGCTTATGGGTAAATGGCTGCATAACTAACGTCGCTAATTCTTTTTATAGAGAAGGAAATTTTACTAACCAGGTTTTTGCCCTCAACAATAACACGATTCTGTGAACGAACGACATGCTTAATGATTCCCGTCTCACCTTTATCTTTGCCTCTAATTATCATAACCTGGAAATCAGTACATATTTATTTTCAGTTGCAGTCAAAGGCATGGGAAACCAAGAGAGGGTGATAAAGCAATTCTATCACTTTATTCATGAGAATTACTTACATTATCACCTCTGAGAACCTTCCAGTGATGTATGAGTTTCTGAGCAGCTTTCCAACCCATTATCTCTGGATAGCATTTTAAAATGCTGAACCATATCAGAAAAAATATGCTTAAAATATACTAGAAGCTCTTTCCCATATACCAATCTAGACTTCAAATCACAGAATGCCACCTATCCACAAACCAACATCTTACAGAGAAAATTATAATGCAAAACAAAAGCAAGTTTACTTTCATTAGTAAGATGGACATAAATGGAACCCATAAACCAAATCCAGACTGTACCAAAAAAAAATGAACTTTTACAAAGTAATAGCTTGAATATCTTTAGTTATATTTTATTTTTATTTTTCTACAATAATGGGCATGATTCAAAAGAGAATTTCAGTGGAGGGACTGCTGAGGGAAGGAGGGTTTAACCATAAACCATGAGAAGGAAGATGGGGTTTCTTAATTTTGGGATAACTGCACAAGCTGTGAATTACTTTAATCCACCTCCATCTCCCACTAATTACTATCAGTTACCCCGTCCCAGTTTCCACTAACCTATAAAATGCTCTCATGTCCATCCTCCATTTGTTTGCAAATTGCAATAGTGAATTTACATGTCTCCATAAGAAGGATTAGATAATTCTTGTCAACACTGTTTTTACTAAAAATCGTTCCCCTTCTTAAGGAGGATTCCTTCATTTGCATCCAAAAAAATCATGAAAACTACACATTCACGTTAGGTTGTATGAACCAAGTCTGCTATTCAAGATTGGCTCAAGACTCTTTCAAGCTGATCCCCCAAGCTCACAACTAGTCAAGCTTGCAAACCTACAGAGTTAAGCAATTTATTTATTTGGAATACGGAGTATTTGCTACTACTACTAAGTAATAATACTATTTTTGTTTGTTGTTATTATTATTTCCTATTTTGTTTTATTTTCATCTCTTTTCCTTACTACACTGAAAAATAGATGCAATCATATGCAGCAATCTTCACATTCCTCCTAAACTTTACATGTAATCGTGGATTCATAGTCCTCTTGAGTGCAATTACTTCAATTCACTATATAAGATTGCAACTCACCAAAAAATGCATATGCCATTGTGTTGCTTTTTTGGCAAATTTTTTCTGTGTATGTTCCGTTGCTGAACATATTCTTTTCCATTGCAGTATGCATATATATTATATATACATACTATACAAAAAGAATGTACTCTTCTAATTGCAGTGTGTGTATATGAGTTTGTTTGTTTCATTATTTTGTGTTAATGGTTTGAGTTAGTATGTTATTTTATATGTAGTAAGACCGTAAGAGTATATTGGAGATTAAAAAAAAATCTTAGGAAAGTTTAAACAAATCAAGTGTTAGAAATAACTTCTCCTGTAATTTATTTGTTATGATTCCAGGGTAAACATGTTAATTAATTTTCCTAACAAAATTATTCCCAGCAAATATTTTCTCAAGAATTTAATTGACGGGAAAGCAACAAACAACCTTTAAAAGCATAATATACATAAACTATTATGCGTGTGAACTATAAAAATAGGCTCTAATTCTTTCAAATAAAATAAAATAAAGAAAAGAAAAGGTGAATTGAACTCAAGCTCTAGCTAATCAATTCGGATCAGTCAAGCTCTAGCTGAGCTCCAAGGTTAGTTACTTTGGTTCAAGCTCAAATACACCAATAATCGAAGTACCCTCTTGCATCGTCTCTTCAATGAGCTGCTTCTATGCTTCCTTAATGTTGAATATGAGGAAACCTTTGTATCATTCCTAGTAAGAGTGGTCTTAGTTTCCTATTCTTATTAGGGTTGGTTTAGTCCTCGTGTCCCTATAAATACAGGATCCTTACATATAGAAGTATAGAGTACACAGAGACACAATCTATTGTAATCTTTGTTATTCTTCACCCGCCAGGCCTTTCAATCCCTCAATTTCAACACTTAATGAATATTGGCCTCCAAACTCAAGATATTTATAGCAGGAAATTTATGGGAAAAGAGGCATTTTTGCAAAGGAAACAAACAGCTTTTGCAAATATAAATGAAAAATATACAAACCAACATACGATAGTAAAAGCAAAAACTAAATGCTGTAATAAATTGAAATAGAAAATCAAAATCAGAAAACAACATTTGCGCATTTATCTAAACACAAATTAGATGGGGATAAAAACTTCCAAGCTACTCGATGAACTGAGTCAGACAAACAATATTCCGAAAAATAAAAACAATTAATATCAGTTTGCTTACTGGCAAGAAATTAAGTACCTGAGGATCCAAGCAGAGCTAGCGAACAAATAGGCTGTGGGAATGGTGAAAGATTCCGGCGACTGGAGAAGATGGAAGGAGATTGGACTGTGGGCATGTGGCGAGGCTATTGTTTCAAACGGTGTCGTTTCATGTTTGATATATTTGATACTACTAATTCACCGGCGCTATGCACGGCAAAAAATTATGTTATTATAAATATAAATAAAAAATTGAAAAACTAAAATATTTTAAATTGTTTAATATAATAATATTTTTGAGCCTCCATTGGTCAAGTATTTATTATTTTTATAGAATACAAAATTACAATTAAAATTAAAATTAAAATTTTGTATGCTTAATATAATCTCTAATTATGTGCATATTCAAATAAACTTATAGAGAGAATTTACATAATTACATTTATTTATTCTTAATTGTATTTCATCTATATTATAATTTTCACAATACGAATAATAACTAAGATAATTACATTTGGAAGGTAAATTTCAAATTTTGTATGAGTAAATTTAAACTCTAATTGAACACATTTTTATATGATTATATAGAGTTAATACCCAAAATGGTCCTCTGACTATTAGTTAATACTCGATTTTGTCCCAAAGTATTAAACGTACTCAATTTAGCCTCTTACTTTTAAAATTACACCCAATATAGTCTCCCGTTACAATTGCGGTCAAACCACTGTTATTTTGAGGGCATAAACGTCCTTTTAGTGAGACAAACCTGTTTCTTCCTACACAACCCTCAGCAACTACTCCATCGCCAAAAACAAACAAGAACAACCCCTCATCTTCTTCAACATTCTCGCCCTCTTTCCTCTTCGTCTCTCCCTTCTCGCCCTCCTTCCTCTTCGTAGTCAGCGGCAGCAGCAGATCGACGATCGGCGATAGGGGCGTGTTCCGGCGACCTTCTAGCGTAGCATACCTTCCCTCCGACGAGTTCCGGCGTAGCCAGGTGGTGGTTCGGCGGCTTAGCAATGGCGAGCAGCAAGATGCGACACCCTCATCTGTTTCCAGAAACTAGTTGGGTTGGGCTATCGCTTTGCACAGTGGCGCCGGTGACATTCTCCAGGATCTCCCTCAAGAATGCCGCCAGCCTAGAGAGGCCGCCCTCCACCACTGCTTAGAGATTGGCGTTGCCGCCGTCAATGTTTTCTTAATTATTTTGCCCAAATTTCAACTCAAATTATACATAGATAAATATCATCTTCTAGAAAATTCAAAAAAAAAAAATTATTGTGAATTCTACTATTCTATGTGTTTGGCTGAAGTCCGTAAAGAGCAAAGTCTAATATCAATTGAGATTTCTCCTACATGTCTGTTTTTGGTTGTCGAAATTAGAAGATAGATCCATTTCTATGGGAGAGAGAGGTTTCATTAAGCATCAATCTCTTCTTTCATGAAACAATGCTTATCTTTTTTGTCAAAACAGATACTACATAGGCATTTGGTACAGCAAGATACCAACTAAGGATGTGGTATGGGTTGCTAATAGAGAAACTCCGCTAAAATACACTTCTGGCAAGCTGATGCTCAAACACAATGGGATCCTAGTACTTCTAAATGGTAGCAATGAAGAAATCTGGTCATCAAATTCATCAACATCCTTGAAAAATCCAGTGGTCAGACCTTTTGGACACTGGAAACTTGTTCTGTCTTCACGTTTTGATGAAGATGATGAAGATGATGAAGAAATCTCCACTAAAATGATGCTTATGCCCTTCAAAATAACGGTGGATAGATGGAAATTGTAATGGAGGACCACATTGGGTGTGATTTTAAAAGTAAGAGGACTAAATTGAGTACGTTTAATACTTTGGGACAAAATCGAATATTAGCTAATAATCCGAGGACCATTTTCGTATTAACTCGATTATATAATATATAGCTATTTTATTTTTCAAAAGTGCATTTTTTATATGATTATATAATATATAGCTATTTTATTTTTCAAATGTTGTGTTTTTTTTTATATAATAAAGGGTGTTGTGGCATTAATTGTAACATTAATTACTTCCCAAACGATATAGCTTTATTATAGTTAAGATTATCCACTTATATTTTAGTTGCATAATATAACTAGTTCTTTTACGCGCTTTGCGTGAATGGAATAATGCCTAATAATTATTTTTAAATAAGTATTTTAAAATATATCAATTTAATATTATATTGGGGATGTTCATGCATAGGTAAATAAATTAAATGTTAAATTTTTTTTATTTAAACCGGTAATTTAAAGTATATAAATGCAAGATAATATATGAGAGATTGATTATATTGTCACTAAAATATATATTTGCAACTTTGTAATAACGCTAGTCTAAAAACGATAGTCTAAATAAATACTACTTTTGGTTTAAATTTCTCTAATTCTTCTTAATTCTCTTTTGGGTAGCATTGTCATTGTCTTCATCTTCAGTACATGTCTTTTTTTTTTCTTTTTTTTTTATTGGTAGTGTGTCATGTGCAATTGGGTTACTGGTAGATGGATTCGTCATGCAATGAGATTATGGTGTAGGAAACTTTAGATTTGCCTTGTTGTGTATATAATGAGATCTTAGTTGTACTATTAACTCTTTATTTTACAAGCACCCATTAATATTTGGTAGTTGTAGTTTTTCCTTTAATGTTTCACGCGTTGTGAGATGTGTGTCGTGGGTTATCATGTGAAAGTAGTTAATAAAATATTAATATTTATATAGAAAAAATTTCAATTTTGGTCCATTGACTATTGGAGTTGTGTTAATTGCAACACTTGACTTTCAAAAATGCTAATTTAGTACCATGACTATGCAATTTCTATCAATTTTGGTCACGCCGGCCAAATTGCCGGCCAAATCTCACCGGAAAATGTAATAAGTCAAATAATAAGGGTATTTTAATCATTTTACCCATTTTCTTTCTTTTCCGATGGGAACCTCCATTTCCGGCGATCGGCGACGTTCTTCTCCACCTGTTCGGCCTGCTGTGTTTGAATAAAAATGGCGTCATGTTCCACCTGTTCGGCCTGCCAAGGGATGGCAAGGATTTAGATCTAGTGGGGGAATCAACTTAGATCTAGGCAAGGATTTAGATCTAGATCGGGTTCCCAAGAGGGGGCATTAATATACAGACCCTGTGAGAGATTGGCAATGCCCTCTTGTAAGTAAATTGATTGATTGAAGTGATGAAATGGGATTTTGCACCATTCCCTCCAGAGAGTGGTGTGGATGAGCCTGATGCAGCAAGAGGACTTGATATTGGTGATGGGGACATCCTTCCATTTAGGTGTTGAGGTGACCTTGGATGTAAAAGAGGGCTCCCAATCGGATGAGAACCTCCATTTCCGGCGACCGACGACTTCTCCAATTCTCTTAAAACGGCCGGAAAAGAGAAAATAAACCAATATTCCCTATTACTTCTCCCTCTAAAACACTCTGACTTCTCCAAATCCCCAGCTTCCACAAAATTGAAACAACATAGCTCTCATCTAAAAGACTCATAAAGCTCGCCACCACAGCGCCATGGAAGCGAGAACAAATCTCCAGCTCAAACCAGAGTCGCCATCTCCACCGGCCCTCTTTCGGTGTGGTTAAAGCAAATGAATCATCATCGAACATCAGCTAGAAAGAAAATTAATGGTCTAACAATTACATTAAAAAAAATGTGAAACCTACGAGAAAACGCAAGAATCCACGAAAAATGAATACGATCTGCGTGTCCATAGGTATAAATAAAACGGATTTGATTTCGGATCGTTTCGTATCTCCTCTGCTACTGCTGGTCTGAATCGGAGGAGAACGTCGCCGGTCGCCGGAAATGGAGGTTCCCATCGGAGAATAAAGAAAATGGATAAAATGACTAAAATATCCTCATTATTTGACCTATTAATTTTTTTCGGTGGGATTTGGCCGGCAATTTGGTCGGCGTGACCAAAATTGATAGAAATTGCATAGTCAAGGTACTAAATTAGCATTTTTGAAAGTCAAGTGTTGCAATTAACACAACTCCAATAGTCAGTGGACCAAAATTGAAATTTTCTCTATTTATATATAACATATTTTGTATTATAAATTTGATATTTAATTACAAGATAATGTAAAAAGAAGACAATGGACAATATAGTAATATAATAAATTTGAAGGTAATGAATCTTTGAATTATAGAAAATAAAGATAATATAAATAATGAAATTATATTTCTTTTAAAAAATTTTATAATGAATAGTTTTTTAAATAAAAGCATTATAGACATCTAATTCTAAATTAATTAAATGCATATGAATTATTTTTTTGTTGTAGCTACTAATTTATTTAATTTAATAAGAGTAATAAATTGGCGTACATACTTTTCATCAACAATAATGAAATCATTATTTTTTTTTTTAATTTACATTTGTTGTTGAGACATATTCTTTTAGGAGTTTGTCAATGACAATTGTTACAATTACTGTCAATAGAGGATGGTAATAAATAATTCAAAATATATAGTTACAATAGATATTGTTATAATGATATAGTAAAAATTAACTTACAAATTTGAAATTTTCATTCTTTGATAAAATTCTCATATGTAGACTTGTTCAATTGGAGCCAGTAGGATGTCAACATTGTCAATTCTTTGGAAAATGATCATATCATTTTAGAGTCCATGTGTAATTGTATTTATGATCAACAACTTTATACTTAGGTCGCGCATGTCTGACAATGATGTAAGAATAATTTTGTCTGATAAAAAATAATACTCCCTCTGTCCCATTTTGCATGTCTTACTTTCCTTTTTAGTTTGTCCCAAAATGTTGTCCTCTTTCTAAAATTGAACATCACCATCATTCTACTTTTTCTCAAATTACCCTTATGACTTTTGCTTTTATTTCCAAAAGTGAAAAAGTGAAGGGCATAATTGGAAAATACATAATATTTACTTTAATTCCTTAAAAAGCGTGCAAAAAGCAAATGAGACAATCAATTCGGGACGGAGGGAGTAGTATAATATTTGTAAAGTAATATACAATTGTACCATTATAGAAATATATACAAAAAATATTAATACCATAATGATAAATGTCAAAGACACACACTTCTAAGGTCCTTTTAGAGT